ACTTGAATTAAGCCGCTTCTAACAAACGACCCCTTGAATCTTGGAAACTTGAGGCTTGTCCTGGAGCTCACCTCCCAGCCGCCTGGCACTGGTCAGATCCTCGGACCTGGCGCACGGGCGGCTCAATTTCAAAAAAATGTAGCGTCCACGTGCTCCATGATCCTCGCCCGCAACTCCTGGTCGCTCCAGGACTGGTGTACCTTAAGCCCCACCCGCACTGCTTCCGAAAGTAGTTGAGGCTTCGTCATTCCGCTCAAGGGGCCTGGGTTTGCTTGGAGAGCGATCAATGAAGCATCGTTGAGCAACAAGCGGATGTACCCGTGCTCCTTCATCTTCATGTGCTTCGTCGCCTCCGGCCAGCGCTCGGGGTCGATGTCCATATCATTCTCGATCTTGTACATGAGGTACTCCAAAAAGTTCAGGAAGCCCACTTCCTTGTCGACATCCCTTAGCTCTATATAAGTAAAAAATTAAATACATAGTCTATATACGGCATATGTATAAGTATATATATGTATATATATATATATATATATATGTATATGTATATGTGTTCATGCCAAGAATCTCCAGCTGGTCTAGGTAACCTCTCCGCCACATCACGACCAAGGACCTCGCGACTTTGCCTGGAACCTTGGCGTGAAGCAGCTTGGCATAGGCCTGGACGACAATTTCATCATCGCCCTGCATCTTGACCTAGCCCAAAGTTCCTGGCAGCTTGGCTTGAAGACGGCTGCCATGCACGAGATTTGAAGCATGATTCCCCCCCTTCTTCCTTCTTAGGGCCGTCCGGACCCTGGAAGCTTTGGTTGCAAGACGGCTGCCATGCACGAACCTGCCAAAAATGATTCCCCCGCCTTCTCCCTTCGTGGGGCCGTCCGGCCCACATCCCATCTCTTCTGTCTGTCTCCTCCGTCTTTCTGTATCTCTGTCTCTCTCTCTCTCTCTCTCTCTCTCTCTCTCTCTCTCTCTCTCTCTCTCTCTCTCTCTCTCTCTCTCTCTCTCTCTCTCTCTCTCTCTCTCTCTCTCTCTCTCTCTCTCTATTTGGTTAGCAAACTGGGGCCGCCCGGGCCGTCGTTTCAGCAAGCTGAAATCAATAGAAACATCCACCTCAAAATCAATAGAAAATCTCCATAAAATCAATAGAAACATCCAACTCAAAATCAATAGAAAATCTCCATAAAATCAATAGAAATTTTCCATAAAATCAATAGAAATTTTCCATAAAATCAATAGAAATTTTCCATAAAATCAATAGAAAGACCACGATTAAAATCAATAGAAGTCAACACTCAAAATCAATAGAAACACGTACCAACAAAAGTTCCAAACGATTGAAATTTCCTCAAATTCAATAGAAGTTTCGTGTGCCTCCAAAATCAAGCGGCCGATTGAAAAAAATCAAGCGGGCGTCCTCTGGGATGCTGTATTACACAAAAAAGACACGAATGAACTTACCAGGATCTCTGGTCTGGTCAGAGTAAGACTACTTGGCCGGTCCCTGCCCATAGCATCACACAGTTTTGGCTTAAATACATCGGCTCTAGTGATAGTGACAGTCACTATCTTGCAACATATATATATATATATATATATATATATTTAAGCCAAGGTGCTCCGATTGATCCATAAAGCTTCTCTGCCACATCTTGGCGACACCTGGTCAGGAAGTGTTGCCGGTCGAGCTCCTCGGGTGCTCTGGGAGGCATAGACCTGGATTGAAATTTTCAGTCCAGGTCTCTCACCTCCCAGACCACCCAATCTAAATCTTCATGGCTCAGGGTACAGGCCTCAGAGTCGGTCAGCATTCAATAATGCTGGACACTGCTGTAATGATTGACTTAGCAACACCTGGTCAGGAAGTGTTGCCGGTCGAGGAGAGCTATCGACAGGTGTCCTCAACCCTTCGTCGGCACCGCTCAGCCAGTCGACTACGACTGGCTGAGTGGCGCCGACGAAGGGTTGAGGAGCTCCTTGGATGCTCTGGGAGGTCGGGCTCCTGTAGCAGTAACAGGTCCATGCCAATTTGAGATCCCAGTCACCTTAAGTATTGAGGTCCAGGCAGAAGCAGATCTACTTTCTTTGCCGGTGGTGTTCTCAGACACATGCGTGGGCAGTGTACTTTCGAAAGTGTTATGTGTGTGTTCGCTCAAGGTCTATCACCTCCCAGACCACCCAATGTAAATCTTCATGGCTCAGGGTACAGGCCTCAGTGTCGATCAGCATTCAATAATGCTGGACACTGCTGTAATGATTGACTTAGCAACACCTGGTCAGGAAGTGTTGCCGGTCGAGGAGAGCTACCGACAGGTGTCCTCAACCCTTCGTCGGCACCGCTCAGCCAGTCGAACTACGACTGGCTGAGTGGCGCCGACGAAGGGTTGAGGAGCTCCTTGGATGCTCTGGGAGGTCGGGCTCCTGTAGCAGTAACAGGTCCATGCCAATTTGAGATCCCAGTCACCTTAAGTATTGAGGTCCAGACAGAAGCAGATCTACTTTCCTTGCCGGTGGTGTTCTCAGACACATGCGTGGGCAGCGTGCTTTGGATACTGTAACTAGCTATGACTTCATGATTCATATTTGCCAAGGTCGGTCGCCTACCATCACCATCTGGTCAGACACCATAGAACTGGACTCCAGCTCTATGATGTCTGATCAGCGGGTGCCGGTTGGCCTGGTCCTCATTGGTTACCTGCAGTTGTTGGGCACAGTCACAGTCGGTCTATGTCTATGATGCCTGCCATGCCACAAAGCAATTTCAGCTTCACGAGACTTGCCGGCCCCACTCCCCGTCGCTATGGCCAAGACAGGTTATGTCGGACTGTCGGTCGACCAGTGGGAGCACTGGCTCTGGAACCCAGTTCCCGACGTCCAGGCCTATTTCTCCCCGTCGGTCGCTGTCTATAAGGCTATCGCTGGTGTCGGTCGCAGGTGCCTTGCTGCTGTGTTTCAGTTCATTTACCATGACCAGCGAGGATGCAGTAGTGTAGGTCGTCCTTAGTTCTGAACTGCCCGGTCGGTCAGGATGCAATACCAGCTTTCCGACACGGATCCCATTCCGGGGCCGATGTACCAACGGTCGAAGCACAAGGAGCAGGCCCATCGTGTTTCGGCTGGGGGCACAATCATGTGTGTTACTGATAACGCCGGTCGGGAAGATGAGGTCAAACTTCTGTTGACCCGGTTCGTGGTCGTGCTGGAAGTGCAGGTCGATGAGTTCCAACTGGCTATGGAACAAGGGTCGGTCAGACCATGCACCAACGACGGCTTCGTCGTGAGGAACCTCGACTTGTCGGTCGAGAAGCACCTCAAAGTCACACGCATGGACGCCCGCCTCGAGGTGGAGGCGTTGCCAAGTGACGTGCCGGTCGACAAGCCTGCTTTCGTGTTCTACAAGATCTCCGATGATGTGACGGAGCTGTCGGTCGTGAAGAAGCTGCTGGCCAACAGCATCAACAAGCCCCGAGGGCAAAAGCGGCCTTCCTCCACAGTCGGTCGGGGTGGCACTGGATATATGTATTTCAGTAACCCGACGAAGGCTGCGCTGATGTGTTGGCTGGCAGGTGGCGGCACGGCGGTCGATGTGCGGCTGAGCTACTATGGAGTGGGCATGCTTCCAGCTGGACTCCTTCACTATGATGAAAGCATGTCGCCGGTCTGTGTGCTTTGGTGGCATTCGATTCAGTGATGTTGCAGTTGCATGATTTCTAATCCTGCAGTTGCAATCTACAGCATAAGCTGTCTGCTCAGGACTACTACTACGCGCAGACGCTTCCCCAGATGGGCGTTGAGTCGGTCGCCGCGGAGTACAAGGTCATGGTTCAGTTCAGCAACAAGGTGCCGGTCGGTGACTTCGTGAAGTTAAAGAACCTCGAGACGCTGAAAGAATACATGTACCAGAACGATAAAGAGTTGGAGGAGCTGAACAGTCGGTCGTCAACTCTGCTCGCGATACAGAAGAAGCTGGTCGCAGAAATGGATGAGATGCTCGCCAAAGAGTCGGTCGTGGATCTGGCGGGCAAGACAACGGTGTCGGTCGAGGATCTGGCGGGCAAGACAAAGCAGCCACTCGTCATGGAGTCGGTCGAGGAAGATGTTGCAGGCAAGACAAAGCAGCCGCTCGTCATGGACCAGGTCGCTGAGTCTAGCTGATGTCCACCAGTCAAAGGCCTTTTTCCTCACTCTAGCAGGCAGGCTGGCCCTGGCAGTTGTCGGTCAAATAATGACAGACCATGATCATGACGATAGTGTTTTCTGAATGCCAGATGCAGCCTGTCCTGCCAGCTGTCGGCCATGCCATGTGTGCATAGAGCCACAGTCGTCTGTCGGTTTCAGCAGCCAGCGAGACATGTGTTTAAAATGTGAAGCACGTGAGAGGGCATGCCAGTCGACTTAGTGTTCGAGATTGAGTGCAGCATACCTGACTTTGTTTGTTACCTGTTGGTTCTGTCATGTAGTCAAGTTGTTGACTTGGTAGCACAATGCGTGCCAGCCTGGCGGTCCATGGTGCATTCCAGCGCATGGCACATGCTTTGGAATCCACTCTGGGCTGCATTTGGTGCGGAACCCCCAGGATCGGTTGCTAAGGCTTGTAGCCCCAAGTTACCAGTTCAGACATCGGTCGACAGCCCGAGCCAGAGATGACCTCCAAGGTTGAATACATGCCTTCACTAAGTTGAACCCAAAGGATGCTTTGCTAAGGCTTGTGGTCCTATCTTGGGGGTTAAAGTCGGTCTAGTGCTGCATCGTCCTAGGTCGGTCCCACTCTGACACATATGTTGCAGCACCTTAGCCGGTCGTGCATGCTCTTCCAGTTGAACCAGCAGAATAGGTTGCTAAGCCTTGTGGGCCTATCTTGTGGGTTCAACATCGGCAGGCCGGTCGATGATCTTGGAAGCACATCTCTGAGTGTCGGTCGTGCCGTTGCCTACCTGGAGTTTGGGCTTACAAGCCTTAGCAACCGATCCTCGGGGTTCCGAACCAAGTCGGCCGGTCGAGCCATGTCCAAGAAAGCAGGCACTCCTGCTTACGCGCCGGTCTACGTGGAGAGCAAGCTCTTAAAGCTTGACGACGTGTCGGTCGCCCATGATTCCGGCCATCGGGACGTCGATGAGGATCGTGTCCTGGAGTTGTATGAGAAGGTGATTTTGGCCGGTCGTTGGGGCCAGGCTTCGTTGTCCCGACCGAAGCTGAGGCCAGTCGAAAAGTTTATTTTCTCGTGCTTGGTAGTTCACTCTTGGGTTTCGCAGGTATGATCCTGCTGGTCGTCCTATGGCCGCATCTGATGGCCGGTCGAAGCTGGCAGATGGCAAGCACTGTATCGCAGCGTTGAAGATACTTGACGACGTGTAGTTTGTCGGTCCAATTCCACGTTCCGGTGTGCACTGGTTTGTCAGCTGGTCAGAAAAGAGTCGGTCGAAGTCCACGGTTTTCATTTCCCTTAATTTTAAATTACTTTCTGACCGAGGAAAGCTGCTGAGACGGTCGCTCAGTCCGATGATGCAACGCAGCTCGAGTGGTACACAGGTGAGATCAAGGACATTCTGACGGTCGGAATGCGTTTTGATTGCATCAAATTCTCGGATGATGATGAGGCCAGGGATGTGCAGTATGACTAGACACTCATGACGGTCACTAGTTACTCCTGTGTCAGGCGGCGGTCAAGCTCTTCTACACCATGGCCCATGAGCAGGAGGCCAACAAGTTGCGGACGACGTCGGTCGAGCACAAGATCAAACTTGTGCGTGCTTATGTCGCCAAAGTTCCTGGCGGTCTGATAAAGGACAGTCGGTCGACCACCTGTTTTGTTGCTGGCCCTGAGTCTCATCTGTCAGGACGCCGAGAACGCCATGGTGGAAATTTTGGGCAAGTCACGCCGGTCAACAATCCACAACTGGTGCAAAGCGACTGCAGTGTTAAAAGAGCCGGTCCTGATCAAGCTGAAGGAGAAGCCCGACCTGCCACAGGGACTTGTTTTCACGAACAAGTACTTCGTCGGTCAAGGAGAAGAGACACGTAACTCGGCGGCATGCCATGCTGTTAGGTTTCCCTGCATTGTTGGTCGCGGAATGCAGTTGGCTCAGGCTTCCTCCTGGAACCCGAGCAGCAGATTGCTGCTCTGCAGCTTTTCTAAGACTTCTGTGACGGTCGCGGGACGGTCTCTTCCATACCGACCTTCATGTCTGACTTTTGTGCCCCAATGTTGAAGGCACAGTTGTGGTGTCAGTTGGTCATGAAGAAGTACTCGTCGGTCGTGAGCCGCCTACCAGCGTATGACCGCTGTCAGAAGATGCTGTGGAGTGAGCGTGGACGGTCGCGCATTTTGAGGCTTGCTAGCACTATGAACTATAACTGACATTCAGTGCCATGTCTCATTATTTTGGTGATGGGGTTGCCAAGGACGTGCATGCGTCTTGGCGTCGGTCTGTCTGGTGACCCGAAGATCGAGGGCAGTGGCATCCCTGAGTGTGTGTCGGTCCTCCAAGGGTTGAAGAATCTGGCCGCTGGTCGTGCAGTGGATGAAGCCGAAAGTGCTGTGGATGCGGCCAAAGCAACGGTCACAGAGCACAAGCTGGTCGTTGAGGGGGGAGACGACGAGTCTGGGATCTTGGCTGACGACATCACGATGGAGGCCCCACTGGTGGAGAAGGATCCTGTTCTTGAAAAAGCTGAGGAGCTCGGCTTGTCGGTCCGATCCAACATTCATCTGTTTCATGACATGAAGACCTTTGGTGATGGCTTCGTCGGTCTATGCCGGGCGACGACCCGTGGCGGCATTTACATCGATGAGGCCACGTAGAAGGCCAAGATCATTTTGGGGGACATGGCAGAGTTGTGGAAGGTCGTCACGTCGGTCGTAGATCGGCAATACGTGTCCATGGGCATCTTCTGTGGAAAGCGCCACGACTTAGTGACGTTGGTCGTGAACCTTGGATGGCACAGAGTTCTTTCTAGACTTGTCGGTCGACTGCTGTGCTCAGCGTTGCTTCGGCTCAAGTCCAAAACGGCCGGTCGACCTTCATGGGTCGAATCAGTAACAAAAGCCTCGGGCTGAAGAGGGTGGCAGGGCCCTATGCCCGTTACTGTGCGACGGTCGCCAGGACAGGGACGGTCGACCCTCCATTGAAGCGCCTTCGAGTCAAAACCTTCTTGAAAAACTTAGATCAGAGCCGGTCGCGATGGAAGCAGATGTCAAAAAAGGAGAAACAACCCTTTGTGGACGCGGCGGTCAAGGATCACAGAAAGCACAACGCCCTCAAGAGGGAGCTCGCTCATCCTCCAGTGGAAGTCGACTCGCCGGTCAGAGACCCGAAGCCTGAGAATGATAGTGACCAGCAGCCACCGGTCGATGAGAACCTCGTCAATGAATTGAGGTTCTCCTTTGAAGGCATGGCACTTTCCAGTCGGTCGACCCTGGGACAAGGCGCCCATGGCACAGTTTACCGCTGTGAAAACTTGATGGGAACGGAGTTCGCAGTGAAGCATCTTGGCTATTCATTTTATTATTAAGGTTCATGCGATTGAACAATCATGAATGAATGAACGAATGATGTCTTTGTCGACTTTGGGTTTAGTGCTGCATCTTGTCATGTCGAGGTTGCCGGTCGGCAGCAGGGACGTGAAGAGGGAGCTAGACGTTCTCCTCAGTCTACGCCACCCAGCCATC